GATGTCGATCAGCAGACGGTTGCTGATGGTTGCTGATGGTTGCAGCATGGGCAAGGCCGCGCGGCACAGCTTGAACGGAGCGGAGCGCTGCTGCCGCGCGGGGAAAGAACGCGACTGCGCGAGACATCAAAGAGTCACGCGAGCGAGCGAGCGATGTGGAGAAGCAAGCAAGCAGCAGCAAAGCACGAACAGTCACGAGTCTCGATCGAGTTCTTGGCAGCTGCTGCATCTTGTACACTGTGACTCCATCCACTCGTGACTTCAAGGCCGTCAGCACGCTCACTTCCCTGCTTGCAGTACGAAAAGCTGCCGTTATCATTCCCTTTCCTGCTAGGCGCACGGCGCAACAAAGGCGATGAGCGACGTAGTGTCCAAAGTCCAGCAAGCGTGGGCGATTCCCATCCCAGAAAGGAAAGATCCGCCTGCCCTGCTGCGCACAGCTACCTTTGCCGTCTTCTTCAACGCTTCCATCATCCTCACCAACCTGACACAATTCATCGCCAGCCCGCTGTACATTCTTCCCATCACCAGACCGCTGTACGAGAGCGCCATCGCGTACACCAAGCTCGGTTTTGGTAGGCTCATCGTTGCCATTTCGCAGCTATTCGGACCAACTAGACTGGTGATCACTTATCAGAGAGAGGATGGAAGCGTGGGCGATGCAAATGAGATTCTGAGGAGAAGTAAGAAAGGGGCGTTTCAGGGCTTGCAGCTGCCAAGCAAGAGCGTGTGGATGTCAAATCACCAGGTCTACACGGATTGGCTGTACCTTTGGGTGAGTTGACAAAGGCGAGTTTGCGCTCGATGTAAAGACATGCTCGGCGTTGCTCACACACTCTTATCCCTCGCATTGTATGCGGTAGAATGTGGCATACTTTGCTGACCTCGCTGACAGCATCATCATCATCCTCAAAGATTCACTCAAATGGATTCCCTTTGTCGGCTGGGTGAGTTGACGCGCACACGGGAGCCGGACATTGTGCATAGGCACCGCCATCCTCTCACGCGTGCTTTTCACCTTGTTTTGATACGCCGCAGGGAATGATCTTCTTCCGCTTCATCTTTCTCTCGAGATCGTGGAGCAAAGATCAGGC